TTGCGTAGAGAAAACTTTTCTGGACTTCCAATGTTGCCATTGCCCAAAGAAGGATGGGATATTGATTTATCAGACAAATTTGCTCAACCAGTGCGCCAAATCATTTCTGATTCAGCAGCAATAAGCAAATAAGTCAAATCAATAAGGGTCATGATGTGGTCCATCATATAGTACTCTCTAACGAACTTACCATATGATTCGGGAAGTAATTGAAGAACCAAGTCAACAACCAACTTCCTTGAGACATTGACACCCAACATCCTTAACTTGTCCATGTGTGACTTCATCTTTAAGACGTGTGCACACATAGACTTTCCATCTTTGTGCCTTATTGCCAATAGGGCTTGAGTGACCTTGAAGTTTTCAAGTCTTCGAGCATGTGGGTCAGGAAGAATTATTGGAGAAGGTGGAGGAAGTGAAGCATGATTTCCATTTCCACAATCTAATCGTGGAATATCATCTTCACATGGAAAACTTTTTTCCAACGGATTTAGGAAGACCATAGTTGTCAGACTTTGACATCTATAAAAACGGGAGAAATTTTAAGTTTAGTTGATTGAGTCCTTAATAAAACACCCAAATGAGATATTAAGGCTAGGACCCAACACAATATCTTACAAATTGGAAGAGGGATGCCATAATCCAACTTGCAGAACATTTGAAGGTAGGTAAATGACGATTTACTAATTTCCACCATGAAAAACGAAAAAGAAGGTTAAGTTTTAAATGTATTGGAAACTACTAGATCTTCTGAGATTCATTGAACTTTTCAATGGCATGTTTAAATCTCGATATGACCCTCGATTTGTGACTGGGATGCCGAGGATCACAAAACAGGGTGTGAATAACCATGCAAATATACGTGGTGCCCCCAATGTTACAGTCACCTATTCGATGTGCCAGTTAACCACACACACTCCACCGAACTATGACAAACATCGAGTCACCCTTTGCCACCTTTGCTTAGAACTCAATTAGTGTGCCGGTTAACCACACACGCTCCACTAACGTCTTAGCAAGGGTACAAAGCGTAATTTCGTGGAATTGCATCAATTCACTTTTTCCTAAAGTAACTAAGATTTTGTAAAACATTTAGTTACTTTAATATTCATTATACTTTTAATGAGGAGAGGGTTTCCCCTATCCTACCCGTTCGGCGAACTAATAATAATCCTATATTATCCATATTTAACCGAATCTATCAATTTTGATGAGGATAACCATTCCAAACTTAAAAATCCGGATTTGGGCAAGAAAACGAGTTTTGGCAGTTATCCTCAACAAAATCTGGCAGAAAATTTGAAAATCTTGGCACCTGAGCCCTGGACTCGTCTTGTCCACAATGGAACTCGTTGAGTAGGACCTACTCGTTGAGTCCATTCATGGACTCGGCGAGTCTGCCAGTCAGAAACCAAAAAAACTTCAATTTTCAAGCAAGCAATGAACAATTAAGCATTAAATACATCAAACAAACAGCCTAAGGCTCTGATACCACTGATGGGTTTTGAGCACTGCATCATTCCTATGGTGTACATGCAAACCCTAAAGCTTTGGATCTAGCATGTGATAATCGATATTAACATAAGAATAGGGTTTAGATCTTACCTTTGATTGTTATGTAGTAATTACAATCTATTCCTTCTTGTAATTGGCTTCTGATAGCTTAGTGTCACAAGTGTCACACCTCTAATGGCTCACAAACACCAAGAGCAAGAGGATGACTTAGGAGAAGAGAAGGAGGCACCAAAATTCATCCAAGAACCTTAAGGAACACTTAGCCACGTTTTTGGTGCCCTAGGGGTCTTTAAATATGTTAGGCTATTAGGGTTTTGAACTAGGAAACCCTAATCTGATTGGTTAGGCGCTAAGCAGCCCATGGACTCCCTCTTTAGAGGCCTTGGACGAATTCTTATGGGTTTCCCCATAGATTTCGTCCACTCCATCCTCTATGGAGTCCATTAGCCCAATATCCAACTATCACACAATTGACAGTTCTAGTCCCCTTTATTTAATTAATGTCTTTTAGCCACAAAATTAATTTCCTAATTAATTTTTGACTAATATTAATTAAACAATATGATTTCTCCTTTAATATATTACTCATATAATATATTAATAAATCATAATTATTCTCCTTTTCCATAAATCATCCTAATCAAGTTGCTTGGTGAAAGCAACCCAAAAGGACCATGCTCGCAATCGGGTCAAGTACATACCAAAATAGTTATGGGCTTAGACACTAACTTCCCCCGGGGTTGGGCGTGGCTGGCTTCGTTTTTTCGTAAGACATAGTCTTCTACTTGGAATGCCTTGTTTTTACTCGCTGATTATAGTATCTTTCTACTGCCTTCTTATAGGCGGCTTGGCGTATGCTTGAATGTTCGCGTCGTTCTTCCAAGAGATCCAAGTTTTTTTAGGCCTTCACTGTTTTCCTGTTCCCCACAATACTCTGTGCGTATCGATCCTACCATTATTTCTGCTGGTAGCATCGCTTCAGCTCCATATGCTAGGCAGAATGGTGTCTCTTTCGTGCTGGTCTGCGGTGTGGTTCGATATGACCAGAGAACCTCCGACAGTTCGTCTACCAAGTTGCCTTTTGCTTTGCCCAGCCGTTTCTTGATCCCTTGTACTAATGTTCTATTAGACACTTCTGTTTTCCCGTTGGCCTGCGGGTGTGCCACGGATGTGAACCTTTGCGCTATTCCCTTTTCTTTGCACCAGTCTCTAAAGGGGGTTTCAGCGAACTGCAGGCCATTGTCGCTGATCAGGACCCTCGGTATCCCAAATCTTGTCATGATGTTTTTCCATACAAACTTGATTACTTTTTTCCCATTGATGCATGCCATTGGCTCTGCTTCTATCCACTTCGTAAAGTAGTCGACCGCCACAATTAAGAATTTTACTTTCCCCGGTGCTTCTGGAAAAGGACTGACTATGTCGATTCCCCATTGGTAGGAAGGCCAGGGGCTAACTATGCTTGTTAACTTTGATGGCGGGGCTTCTTGCGCTGGTGAGAAAGTCTGGCACTGCACGCAGGTCCGTGTTAGCTCTTCCGCGTCCTGGTGTATATCTGGCCAGTAGAGGACCATGCGTAATACCTTGCCTGTGAGCGCTCTTGCTCCCCCGTTCGCACCGGCCGATCCTGCGTGGGCTTCCTTTAGGGCCAGCTTTCCTACTGCACCATCTATGCACTTGAGCCATGGAGCCGTATGGCCCTTCCTGTACAGCGTCTCTTTTATCATCGCGTACTGTGGGGCTTGTATCCTTGTCTTCGGAGCCTCCGCGTGGTTGTCCGGAAGTATGCCATGCCGTAGGTATTCTATGATGGGTGTAATCCAGTTGGGCTGTGCTACTGACAGGGAATTGACCTGTCGCTCATCGATGCTCCTTTCTTTCAGTACTTCCACCAAAACCTTTTTGGAGAGATGTCCAAAGCATGTTGACGCTAGTTTGCTGAGGGCATCCGCTTTCTTACTACTTCCCCTTGAGATTTGTTTTATCTCAAAGCTTTTTAGGGTACTCGTAATTTGTTGTACTGCTTTGACATATTTTTCCATTCGCTTATCTTTTGCTTCGAATTCCCCTGTCACCTGGTTGGCCGCCAAACGCGAGTCGGTCAGGGCTATGACTCTCTCCGCCCCCATTGTTACCGCTAGTCTGAGACCGGCCAAGAGGGCTTCATACTCCGCCTTGTTGTTGGATGTGTGAAAATCGAAACGCAAGGCATATGTGAGTTCTTCTCCCGTTGGGCTAGCTAGGATCAACCCTGCACCTGATTCTTCTTTGCTAGAGGCCCCATCTGTGTGAAGAGTCCACCGCTGGTTGTCCTCTTTTCTCGAGCACACTCTCATTGACTGCCTTGGTGCTTCTCTGATGGAGTTTCTCCATGGGACTTCGAGCAGGAAATCTGCTAGAGCCTGCCCTTTGATGTTTGCTCTGGGGTGGTAAGTGATGTCGTGCTCTCCTAGCTCTATGGCCCATTTTGCAAGCCGTCCTGACTTCTCGGGCTTCAGGAGAATATGTTTTGATCAGGCAATTTGTCAATACCTCTATTTGGTGAGCTTGGAAATACCGATGGAGTCTCCGTGCTACGTAGACTAAGGTGAGCACCAGTTTTTCGATGACCGGGTAGTTCATCTCCGATCCTTGTAGTGCCCGACTCACAAAATAAACCGGTAGTTGGCGTCCCTGCCTGTCGACCATCAGCACTGACGAAATTGAATCTTTTGACGTGGACATGTACACTTGCAATACTTCTCCGGGTACTGGGCTGGCCAGGGTGGGGAGTGCGTGGAGTACTTTCTTTATCTCTCGCAGTGCCGACTCGGCTTCTGTTGTCCATGTAAAGTTGTTTTTCTCTATGCACCCTTTTAGCGTGTTGAACAGTGGCATGGGTTTCTCTGCCGACTTGGAGATGAACCGACTGAGTGCGATCAGCTTTCCATTCAGGGCTTGTGCATCCCTCAGCGTGTAAGGGGAAATTGTTTCCTCTAGCTTGTTTACCTTGATTGGGCTTGGCTGGATCCCTTCCTTCGTCACATAGTATCTCAAAAATTGGCCCTCTTCGACTCCGAAGGTGCACTTGGCGGGGTTTAATTTCATCCTAGCCTTCTCCAGGGTCTGTAACGTTTCTTCTACATCTCGTAACAACATTTTCTCGTCCGGTCTTTTTATAACCATATCATCGACATAGACTTCGATGTTCCGCCCAATTTGGTTGGAGAATAGGGAGTCCACGAGCCGCTGGTAGGTTGCCCCTGCATTCTTGAGTCCAAACGACATTTTTGTATAACAGAAAGTGCCATGATCCGTGTAGAAAGCCGTTTTCTCTTCATCGTTTGTATTCATCAGTATCTGGTGGTATCCTTTGTATGCGTCCCAAGAAGCATTTCCATTGGAACCCTTGCAAAGACTCTACCTTTTGGTCTATTTATGGTAGTGGGTAACAGTCTTTGGGACATGCTTTGTTCAGGTCGGAGTAGTCGATGCACATGCGCCAGCTACCATCGCTTTTCCTCACCATTACTGGGTTGGCGATCCATGTGGGGAAAATTGCTTCTCTGAGAATTCCTGCGCTGGTTCCCGGCTTTATCATCAGCTTGTGTTTTATAATTCCTCGATCGACCGTTTGTGTGACAACAGATACGCAAACCCTTCACCCTTTGTCCCCTTGTGCAACCAACCATGGCCGAAAATGCAATCGGAGAACCATCGGAACCACCACACAGTCCAATACGCCAAATGGGACCGCTGGAGCCAGCTGACACCCCGGCCGTCTCCCTTACTGGAGAAAAACCGCCATTCCTCGAAGCACCATCGTCTTCAGGGGACCCGTCGCCAAACCTTGAAACCATTCCAACTCCCGGTGGCCCACCGCCACAAATTGCAACAACTATGCCATGAGACCCACTCTTCACTCCTATCACCACCATCACACATACTACCTTACCCCAAAACCAACCGATATTCACCACGCCTTTTCTATTCTTCAACACCGTCACCCCTCATAGAACCCAAATAACACCCCGTCACACCCTCCATAAATAACCTATACGCACACGGGACCATGCTTAATGCGAGCGCTGCAGCACAACCACGTGGTCGTGGGTTCGAGTCCCACAGATGGCATCAAATGATGCGACCTGGCTCTGAACCACTTGCTGTGAGAGAGATTCGACGTTCTTTATGCCTGAGAGGTCACACAAAAAAGAAACCCATCAGCCGTTTTCTGGGAGGGGGTCCCGGAAAGACACTCCGACGGTCAAGTTAGTATTCTGAGGGTTATAGTGAGAATGAGAGATTGAGGAGTGGAATGACTTGCCTTACCGGGACCAAGGTGAGATCCTTTTATAGTGGAGATCTTCCTTGGTCCGTACTAGGGACCGGTACTGCAGTCCCGACAGGATCTGTCGCTCTTATTGGGTAGCCCTGCTCCACATTCGTGCTCAGCCCGGTGATTGGTCCAGGCGATTGTGCTCTGTCTGGACGCTTTGTCGCCTGGAGCCGTTGTCTCCGGGCTGTGGCTAAAAGACAATATTCTTGAGGGCGACCCTTCTGTGTGGCCGCCTCGCGGGAGTCCGGGGTCACTGAGTCGGCTCCCCGTCGGAGCCGCCTTGTCGAGGCTCGCCTGTTTCGGGCCCGCTCTAAGGGGCGTGGAATAGCAAAACAACTTTTCCCAATTGAAATTTTGTTTTTCTATAATTAACATTGCTAACTTGCAACACTTATCATAATTATCATGCTCCCACTAACATGACGATTCTACGCATAACACTTATGCTCCCACTAGCTTTGACATGTACTCAGAAATCAGCTGGACTTCTAGAAATCAATACTTTATTGACTTTCTTACCAAAGTTCAGATTTCTGATACGAGATGCTTTGATAAAACTTTATCAAAATCATACAACTTTCCTTAGATAGCACACATGTGTGTCTAAACAATTTCAGAACTATGAAAAGGGATGCCGTAATCATAGTCTCAATTGTTTAGACCTTTGCCATTTCTCACAAGTCCATGCTAGTGTGCCGGGTAACCACACGCGCTCCACTAACGACTTTGAGAATGCAAATATCACAATTGCTATCTACTTAAAATCTACTTAGTGAAAGTGTTTCCTCACCATCATTTTCATGAATCGGAGAGAAACCTTATGACACTTAGATTTTATGGTGTATGTGTTCCTATCCATGTGAATTTGTCAAAACCATAATCACAAGACATTGGTTAGTGACAAATCCAAACTCATATGGATTGAACTTGTGTAATCTTAAATTCTTGCCACCTGGCAGCACAAGGGCCTGCCATTGCTTCCAAGTTGTTATGCAACCAATTGAGAACTCTCAGAATTCATATGCAAAGCCAATTTTAACTCGAATGGGCACAGAAATAGGAATATATCAACACGATAGGTTATAAACCTAAAGTCGTGTGTTAGTGATAAACTACAGGTTTTATTCTTGATTAGACTCTTTCAGAATCTTTTAGACTCCCACTGTCCTCTTGACATATAAGACTCTCTTGCCAAGTACCATGCCTTGTTAAACAAATATTCAAGAGATAGTGCAGATTTTTTATTAAGACAAACACTTCACACAACTGGCCATAGTTGGTCTCTGTTTTATCCAAAACATCACAACTTACCAATTTCAAATGTACAAGAGTAGGACACATTTTACTCTTACATTTGAGAAGTGTTATAAACCTTCTTTAAGATGTGTCACTCAAATTACAATCTTGGAGTATAACTCTAAGACTTGTTTTGGAACGAAGTATGTATCACCTTCTTGATTTAACCATTTCCATAATTCATGACTCCTTTTCTTAGCCATAGGAATGCACTAAGATGTCCCTAGAGGATGAATTGTGATATGGTCTCACAATCATTAAGATGATCATAAAACATGATACTAAAGTACTCTCCCATCTTTTCAGATTTGAGAAACTTTTATATTTCTGCCAAATTTGATTCTTCTTATTCGTTCTGCCATACATGGAAACTTTTCCAATGCTTCAGAATTATACTTAAACTTGTAAGTATAACCATATTTACTAAACTTTAGTAAATCATGATGAATAGTCTTATCGATATTTTGTGGTGGACTTGACCAGTGCACAAGAATGTGTACTCGATCCCTTAGTCCTTCACTTGACTCACATGAACATGTGCACAAGGAACTAGTCTTAATTTTCCAAAGATGAAAATTCTCATTCACCATACAATACAACTTGCATAATTCCAAGTTTCTATCCAACTTAACCTTGGTTGATGATAATCTTTCGTTATTTGGTAAATTATGACACTACCACAAACGACAGAATCAAATCCATTTTCCAATGTTGCTATCAATGGAAGCATATAAACAACAATTTTTCACAAATGACACTGTAAGGATATTTAAAATAAATGAAAACGAAACTTTTCTTTTATTTAAAACTTGCAGAAAAACTTATCCTTACAATGCAAATGCATATGAAAACTATGTTGTTATCTATTCCTAAGCAATCTATCACAACTCTTAAGTAGCAACTCAAAAATTCTGATCACCGAACCAATAGGGCTTGAGTGACCTTGAACTATTCAAGAACTTGTGGGTTAGGGAGAATAATTGGAGGAGGTGGAGGAAGTGAAGTATGATTTCCATGAGCCAAGCACGAGACATCATCTTCATTAGGAAAGCTTGTTCCTAGATATTTGGGAAGACCATAGTTGTCTGAACCAGACATTTACAATGGGAGAAATTCAAGTTAGTTGATTTAAAGTCCTTAATATAACCCCCAATATGAAATATTAAGGCTAGGACCCAACGCATTACTTTTATAACATGGAAGAGGGATGCAGTAATCCAAGCTATAAAATATTTAAAGGTAGGCGAATGACGATTCACCAGTTTCCACCATGAAAAACGAAATAGAAATATTAGGTTTTAATTGGATTTGAAACTCCTAGATCTTTTGAGATTCATTGAACTTTTCAATGGCATGTTTCAATCTCGATTGTGCCCTCTCAAGTTTTGTGACTGGGATGCCGAGGATCACAAAACAAGGTGTGAATAACCATGCAAATATACTTGATACCCTTAATATTTATCACGTAATCGATGTGCCGGTTAACCACACGCGCTGCACCGATCCTATAATAAACATTGAGTTACCCTTTGCCTACCTTGTTAAATCCAAGTTAGTGTGCCGGTTAACCACACACGCTCCACTAACGATTTAAGCAAAATGCAAAGTGTAATTTCATGGGTTAGCACCAAATTCACATTTTCCTAAAGTAACTAAGATTGGGAATTTATAAAAGCTTTAGTTACTTTAGCTTTAGTTACTTTAGATTTATCGGCTAACGACCCTCCACCAGTCAAGGAAGCGGTGGGTGAGAGTAGACACCCATTAAACTGCCATTTTATAGGCAGTAACCTTATACCCCCCCTTATAGACTGGCTTCGTGAATGAGGCCTACTAACGGTAAGACTGACTTGCTCTTATACATATATATATTTTTAACTTATAATACTATAAAGTATAAGGGTTGAATTTTAACTTTTAAAATTCTAAGGGTTTAACTTGGAATTAAAGTATTCATGAGGAGAAACTTTACAAATTCCAAAACTCGAGGGCAAGTTTTGAACTATTCAAAAACTTTTGGATTTTCATAACTTATGAGTTTAATTAAGGTTTTAAAACTTTAATGAAGAGACTCTTGAACATCCATAACTTGAGGACAAGTTATGGAGTTTATAAAACAAAAAAAACTCTTCAATTTTGTAACCTATGAATTTTAATGGATCTTTAAAAGAAATGACTTTTGGTAATCCATAACTTGAGGACAAATTATGGACTCCATTAAAATACATTTAGATCAATAATTAACTAACAAAAATTTGTAAATAATTCCGATGATCTACCAAAACTCATAAGTGTATGAACAATCATATCAACAATTTCAAGAATTACATAAACACACACAAAACTTGAAATTTTGATAACAACCTTGAAATTGGTTTACCATAATCATTACCACATCAAAAACAGGTTTTATAAGTCCAAAACAGTTTAAGGTAATGATTCTAGACCAATTCCAGCCTTAAAACTCGAAGATATGCTGTCAGGGGGTCCAACTCGTCAAGTGCATGAACCAACTCGGCGAGTTGGATGAATTTAGGCATGGACTCGTCGAGTCCCTTAATGGACTCGACGAGTCAGCTGACCAGACAACATACAAACTTCGATTTTCAGCAATTTGCATCAAGTATAAAAGAAAACAAGCCTAGAATCTGATACCAATGATGGGTTTTGAGCATTCTAACACTCCTATGGTGTACATGCAACCCTATAAACCATGATCTATGTTTTCTCTATTATACATGCAAATATTCAATATTCCAAGGCATTACCCTAACTAGCATACAATCTTTGATACATGGGTAATAAAACAAATTAGAATACATACCTTTTGTTGTAGCTTGATTCCATGGAGCTTAAGAGCCTAGTGACTCAAGTGTGACACCTCAAATGGTTCACACAACACCACCAACAACTTGGAATAATTTGAGAGAGAAGTTCTTATGCTCAAATCGGCTAGTCCTCATGTGTACACACAATAGTGCCAATTTCTTGAGCCATGGGGTCCTTATATATTGTGGCTATTAGGGTTACACCATGTAACTCATGTCTTTCCATATTCTTCATGCTCCATGGATCAAAACCTCCATGGAGTATCAATGGGTTACTTCATGGGTTTAGCCCAACATGAAGAACTATGGATCATAAGCCCGCATATATAAGAGTGAATGATTTACACAATCAATCCCCATATATTTAATTAGTCTCCTTTTGATCACAAAATTAATTCCAAATTAATTCTTGATCAATACAAATTAAATAATATGATTTCATATTAATATATTAGAACTTATAATATATTAACAA